AAGGAGACGGAGCCCAGAGCAGGAGAAATGCCACCGCAGAAGAGTCCTCCCTTCCCCTCTCGATGTAAAAACTACGCCTGCCCCAGGCCGTCAGGCTCTGAGTGGTGCCTACTCATGCCTAAAGCTCTAAGTGACAAAACCTATATTGAGTGAAATCTTTGGACTGCCTTTATTTTTTAATATACAAAGGAAAAAGAATAGGAAAGAAAATACTAACGTGGTCAGGATTTTCTTTGCGGTCATAGGAACACAGTCCATTTTGGTTTCATTCAGCTCATTTATAGTAAACGTGATTTACAACAAGACAAGAAATAGTAATGAAGAAAACCTCATGTAGCAATCCCTGGAGTGGATGACTATGAAACTGAAATTCTGGTAGCCTCCAAGAGTGGAATCTCTCTTGTCTCGTAGCCTTCCTGAGTGTTGGCCTCATTTTCTCCTTCAAGTGCTCCATGTCACAGACCAGCAGGTGGTGTAGAGGTCAGGATGGCTGGATCCCACATGGCTGACCCCACGACTGCCAGTCGAGTCCTGCACCTGGTGGCTTGAAAAACATGCCAGGCACGTGTGCATGCCCCAAGTCCTGAGAGGAGAATGGAGGAGGGGGACTGTGGCATGGCCATCCCCCTGCCCCCCAGAAGTGGGGGAGTGGGATGATTTCTCACTTTCCCTCTCTCTCCAGCAAGTGCATAAACCACATGCCCCATGGCAAGAACAAAATCTTTAAATAAATAAATAAAAGAATACCCCATATTTCAGGAACACAGCAGTGGGTACCTGAAAACCAGAGACAAAGGGCTTGCGGCTTCGAGCACGCGTGTGTAAAATCCCAGAGCAGGACTCTGGATCATCCTGGGTTCTCTGGCTCTTCCTGTGTGAATCACCATGTTTGGGGGAGACAGAGTGACCATGACTGGCCTCGGTGATCTTGGGTTGATTTGTGGGAGGAGCAATGTCCCCCAAGGAAGGTAGAAAGAAGGAAGCGGAGGGAGGATGCAGTCAGACGAGGACAAGTGACTGCTAGAGTCTCTCTCTGTTTTACACAAGTCCTAGAACCGGCATCTGTTCGTCTTGTCGTGGTGCTCCCTGGACTCGACATGTTTCGGCTATACACAGGAATCCCTACACCCCAAACTTCAAGAGCTTTCAGACTCCTGGGCTCCCCGTGAGTCCTGGAAAATGCCATGGGTCGGGGATGGGGGTGGGGGTGTTCAGAGGGCAGTACCAGGAACTCTGGTCAGGCCGAGACTCTCCCAAAGCCCCACCACACGTCACCATCCCCACCCCCCTGCAGGAGAGAGGAACCGGCCTCAGCTGCCGACCTGCAGCTGCAGTGGGAATCAGAAGGGGTAGCTTCTGAGGCGCCAGAGAGGAGAGCCCTCCACGGGGCTCCCAGAGGGGCTGTGAAATGCACTCGGGCACATGCTTCTGGTCACCTCTGGGCTGTGGCTGTCCCTGAAAGCTAGGCCACGAGGTTGCCAGTGTGGACAACAGCATCCTGGGGGTTCATTGTCTCTATGGCATAGACTTGAGGGCATTTATGGGAGTTCCGATGGTTTCCAAACCTGGATCCTCACACCCTTTACAGAGAAACAGAAATCTCGCTCTGGGGGCAAGGAGGAAAGGAGTTTATGACTATAGGATTGACAGAAATCATAAAACCACATTCAGACCCATCAGTGACCAGAGTCCACACTAGTCTTCCTAAACCCTGCTGGTGTGACCCCAGAAAGGTCGCTCTGCAGTGCAGGGCCTGGTCTGGCTGTGCCTGCATCAACAGCTCCGAGATGCCAGCCAGGCTGCACACCCAGAGGGCAGAGAGCTGAGCTTAGAAGTGGAAGGTCTTTCAGGACCAGCAGTTAGTGTAATGGCTATGTCGCTGAACTCCCATGTAGGCGACCATGGTTCAAGTCCTGGACCCAGTGGCTTAAACACACCAGGCACGTGTGTGTACGTGCCCAAGATCCCGAGAGGAGATGGAGGAGCAGGGATTGCGGCATGGCTATCCCTGGGGATTGATTTCTCGCTTTCTGTCTCTCTGTCTCTCGCTGGCGAGCACACGCGCCCTGTAGCAAAAATCTCTCCAAAAAGAAAAAAGAAAAGTGGAAGGTCTTTCAGCACCTGGGCTGGAATGAGGTGTATATCATGCTGGATAAAGTCTCTTTACAATCTAAATGATGTATATTGATTGAATGTATAAATAATAATTTTTTTAATGTAAAGGAAAAAGAAAAAAGAACTCATGCCAGGCGCATGTGCATACGTGCCCAAAATCTAGAGCAGAGAATGGAGAAGAGATTAGATTGCAGCATGGCCATCCCCCTGGGGGTGATTTCTCACTTTGTCTCTGTAGCGAGCGCACACACTGTATATAAAAAAAAAATCTCTTAAAATAAATAAATAAATAATACATCCTGGGTGGGGGGAGTGAAAGATAGTTTCAGTTTTGCAAGATGAAAAGAGAGACCAATGGTGGTGGCCGCACAAAAGTATGAATGTATTTAATGCTACTGACATGTGCTGTTTAAGATAGTTAACATGCGGGAGCCAGGGAGGCATAGTGGTTAAAGCACTGGACTCCCACATGGCCAACCACTGTTTGAGTCTTGGACCTGGTAGCTTGAAAATCACACCAGGTGTGTGTGTGTGAGTGTGCTTGCCCAGGAGAGAATGGAGAAGAAATTAAAATACGATCATCCCTTCCAGGGAGTGATTTCTCACTTTCCCCCTCGCTGTGTCTCTCTGGCGAGTGCTTCTGCCCTATGGTAAAAACCTTAAAAAAAAAAAAATTGTTGACATGGTAAATTAATGTTATGTACGTTTTATCATAATTTTTAAAATGAAAACATAAAGAGTGAACGTAGAGATGCCCAGATAACAGTAAAGCTTGCAGAGTAAGGTACTAGACCACCAGGGTTTACAGCAGTCCAGCAAGGAAGAGCTACCCCAGATAAACGGGAGAATAGAACAAGTGACAGTTTGCTTTCAAAGATTTTGACATTTGTAATTTTCAAAAAAGAAAGAACCAGAAGAAAACAAAAAGAAAAACATTAAATATCAATAGTTATCATGGTGGGGGGGGGGAGTAAGAGGTTTGCTTGGCTTCTTTTCTCTCCATTTGCCGTATTTTGGTTTCGTTTGTTTGCTTGTTTGTTCTGAGTTCGAATCCACACATGGGATGGCACCACCGTCTGCAGAACTTGGTATTCATGAACCTAACTAGACCAAACAGGCCATGAAGCATAGGATGCTCCCGTTCATCCTTCCCCAGACGTCCACTATGCAGCTACTATGGTGCCAGCCATGTGCGAGCCACAGGGACACAGGGGACTGAGAGTTGTGTCCTGGCTCACCCAGGCCAGGCCACGGGGCTCAGCTCAACAGCTACCTGCAGAAGTGGCTCTCTGGGGCTGTTTGCAGACCTTGTGGCTGGGCTTCAGGTAGCCGTCTGAGGGAAGGTCAGACTTTCTCATGGCACCAAAAGTTAGGAGCTGATGGAGGCCTGAAGCTTCAAACTCTCAGGGCCAGGACTCCATAGCTGCCCGAGGTGGGTACAGGACAGGGACAGGGTCTCTGTTCCCGCTGAATGCCCTGGCCAGACAGTGAACCAGGAAGGCACTCCTGAAAGGGGTTTTAAGGAGTAGACATCTCCTTCCACCTTCAGCAGGTGGGAAGGAGGCACTGGAAGTGTCCCCAGGGCAGCTGCTGACCTCTTCCCAGGACCACTGGGCCTCAGATGGTCGCTGGGTGGTGACTGTCTGCTCATCGAACAACTCTGATCAAAAGGAGTAAAGAAGTGTGTGAGGCACCAGGCGCGTGTGCGTGCGTGCCCAAGATCCTGAGAGGAGAATGGAGGAGAAGGGATTGCGGCGTGACCATCCCCCCAGGGGATGATTTCACGCTTTCTGTCTCTCTGTCTTTCTGGCAAGTGCATGCACCCTATAGCCAAAAACAAAACAAATCAAAACGAAAATCTCTCAAAAAAAAAAAAAAAGAAATGCGTGAGATGGAGAGGAGGGGCAGGAAGGAAGTTACACACGTCTACAGCAGAGGCCCCCTGGGACCCTGGGCTGTCCATGGCGCCGTCACTCATGGGGTGGACGAGGTGAGGGGACCTCGCCAGGTGCCCAAGGCTGTGACTCAGCCTGCGGGGATCCTCCTCAAGGGAACAGAGAAGGGACTCAGGCCAGCTCTTGGTGGACGACGCCCGTCTTCCTCGTTGAAATCACAGCATTTGACCCAGACACCTTGGAGACAGTTTGGTTCAACTACTCTGGAGACTGGGAGCAAAAAGATGACAAGATTTAGACAAAATTACAGGTCAGTGATGAACAGTTCAGACTGTCAGGCCAGCTGCCCACAGCTAAGGACGCCTTATACTCCTACTCTGCTATGTAACTGTACGGTGTGGGGTGTGTGCGTGTGCACATATCTGTGTTAATGTGTGTCACGAGCATGAACAGGCATTTATACACCCCACCTAAGTTCATACATATGTGCATTTGTGTCTGTGTTGTGGGTATAGGTGTGCACAAGTGTAACTGTTGGAGCGTGTGTGTGCCTGTGTACATGTGTAGGAATGTGTGTGTTTGTGTGTATTATACACATATGTGAGTGTATGTGTGT